CCTAATGTACTATCTACTTTCTTCTGGGATCCTTTCATATAGGTTGGGGAGATGGTAAGGAAAAAGTAAGGAGGGAGAAGAGTATCTATGCATTGAAGTTTTCTTAGAATCACAGAAACATGGGCTTGAAACCCAGCTAGCTGTATGATCTAATTTTTTAACTTTTCTGAATGCCAGTTTCCCTGGACTTACTGTAGAAGTAACGTCTACCTGTTGGGGTTATGAAACATTGAGTCAATCAGGTACATTTGGGCATTTGTCCATCAATTTACATTCCAGACCCCCAGATATTGTGGATTGCCTAAGAAAATTGTTGCTTTCTGAGAGTTTTAAATAGTCTTTCACAAGAACTAGAGGCAAGAAATGAATGTGTAGCTGTGTGGTATTTAGCATTCTATACACAGGGATCATCCCCTTCTTTCATTATTTTATTTTATTTTAGTTCTATTTTTTTTTGAGACAGAGTCTCAGTCTGTCACTCAGGCTGGAGTGCAGTGGCACAATCTCGGCTCAGTGCAACCTCCGCCTCCCGGGTTCAAGCACTTCTCCTGCCTCAGCCTCCCAAGTAGCTGGGACTATAGGTGCATGCCACTATGCCTGGCTAATTTTTGTATTTTTAGTAGAGATGGGGTTTCACCATGTTGGTCAGGCTGGTCTTGAATTCCTGATCTCATGATCTGCCTGCCTAGGCCTCTCAAAGTGCTGGGATTACAGGTGTGAGTCACCACGCCCGCCCCCTCCTTTCTTTAAATAAGCACCTGGTTTGCTGTCATTCTCAATGATAAAGTATGTGAAAGCAATACTATAGTGTTCCTGAACCAAACTAAGGATCAGGCTGCTATTTCTTCTGGCCCAATAATGAAATGCAGATGAACTGTGGAGAAAGTGAGTTTTTATTTCTGTAACTGGTTACAGGGAGACCTGGTAATTGTCTTTCAGACCAACTCAAATTTACAAAATTTTTCAGAATTTATATACTTTGCAAGCTATAGAAAGTGGTTTTATTATCAGCTATAAAACTCTAACAGTGCTAGGCATGGTAGCTCATGCCTGTAATCCCAACACTTTGGCAGGCCAAGAAGGGTGAATCACCTGACATCAGGAGTTTGAGACGTGTAAGTGTGCATTCATCTAAAGACATAAGTGATTAATTTCTTTTAATCTATAACTAAGGTTTGAGTCCTGAAGACCTACTTCTGGAGCCTCAGGAAGTTTACTTAATCTAAATGGGTCTAGGTGCTGCGGTGATTATCTTTATCTTGCCTCCTGCTAAATCACAGAGGTTTGGAGAGTTCCTTCAGATGTCCAATAAACTTGTTTGTGAAGGCCTGTAACTATGTTATTGGTATATGTTCCAAAGTTATGGGAGATTTCTACAATTCTGATATATCTCAGTGTATGTTATCAGTAATAATTATAATTGTCATGTTAAATTATTGTGTGCCACAGAGGTAACAAATTTCCTTGTCAATTGTGTCTCTTTCTATTTTTTTTTGAGACAGAGTCTCACTCTTGTCACCCAGGCTTGAGTGCAGTGGTGTGATCTCAGCTCACTGCAACCTCCGCCTCCTGGGTTCAAGCAATTCTCCTGCCTCAGCCTTCCAAATAGCTGGGATCACAGGCATGTGCCACCATGCCTGGCTAATTTTTGTAATTTTAGTAGAGACAGGGTTTTACCATGTTGGCCAGGGTGGTCTTGACCTCTTGACTTCCTGATCTGCCCGCCTCAGTCTCCCAAAGTGCTGGGATTACAGGCATGAGCCACCACAGCTGGCCATCGATTGTGTCTTTAACTATGGCTACCCTAAAACATTTTGTTATCTGTAAACAATTGTCATCTTGTTTTGATCCTCATTAGAAGGTGGTTTTATAATCAGCTATAAATCTCTAACAGGGTTGGGTGCAGTAGCTCATGCGTATAATCCCAGCACATTAGGAGGCCAAGAAGGGTGGATCACCTGATGTCAGGAGTTCAAGACCAGCCTGGCCAACATGGTGAAATCCCATCTCTACTAAAAATACAAAAATTAGCCAGGCATGGTAGCATGCACCTGTAGTTCCAGCTATTCAAGAGGCTGTGACTTGTTTGTGAAGACCCTCAATTAAACTTGTTTAATCCTAAATGAGTCCTGTTAAGAATTTTTTGGTTATTTTGCCATGCTTTAAGTTTTGTCAGGAAAGGCATAGGCAAAACTCTTGATGGGCTTTTGTTACATAATAGCCTTTGTATAAGGACACTGGCTTTCAACATTTAACTTAACCACCCAGTCAGTACTAAAACAGTTGTGATAGAGGCCTGCATTAGTGAAGCCTGGCCTGCCACAATCCCCATTGTCAATCTGTGCATGATTTTTATCATGCTTGTATTTTTGTTTATCATGAGAATCATAGGGAGATGGGGCATTGTAATCTTTCTGGCTACTTCCTGCTGAGAGAGGGTCATCGTTATGAAGCACCAAATGCAGCACTGGAATGGAAGAGGTCTATTTGTTCCCAGTAGCCCTGAATGTTTTTCCTCTATTCTGATGTCACTGTCTCGGCTCACTGCAACCTCTGCCTCCTGGGTTTGAGCAATTCTCCTGCCTCAGCCTCCTGGGTAGCTGGGACTACAGGTGCATGCCACCATGCCTGGCTAATTTTTGTATTTTTAGTAGAGATGGGATTTCACCATGTTGGCCAGGCTGGTTTCGAACTCCCGACCTCAGGTGATCCATCTGCCTTGGCCTTCCAAAGTGCTGAGATTACAGGCGTGAGCCACCGTACTTATCCTTTTTTAGCTTTTAATACTTAACCACTCAGTCAATACTGAAACAGTTTTGATGGAGTCCGGCATTAGTGAAACCTGGCCTGCCACAGTGGTACTTGGCACACAGCAGTTGTTCAATGTAGAAACTATTACAATAGAAACTACTACACACTGGACAACTGTTCTGAGTGTATTACATGTTACTGCATTTTAACACTAAATAGAAAACAATACTATGGTGCTTTAGGGAAATGATTTCCTGTGTTAGATCCATCTATCTATCTATCTATCTATTATCTATCTATCTATCTATCTATCTATCACCTATCATTTTTGCCTGAAGCTTGCCTTCTCGCTGATCTCTGCGTGTGTAAACTGGGCTTGTGAGGAGGCTTGTATTTCTTACTTTGTAGGGAGGGGAACAGTATCAAAAGGAGACAGAAACTGAGAAGAAGAATGAATATCCAAGTTAAAGCTACTTGGACTTTCATGCTAAAAATACTAGAAAGGGCCAACTTGTGAGGGTAACTGAACTCAAAGAGCACACTTTCTCTTTCCCCATTTCTCCACTAAGTTTGAGATATTCCTCCAACTCATGAGTTGGGGGCTACGCAATAGCTATCATGTTCCTACTCAATTTCAGCTAACCTGCTTTCGTATTTGTCCTCAGCGGTTTTTTTTTTTTTTTTTTTTTTAGCTGGAGTCTTACTCTGTTGCCCAGGCTGGAGTGCAGTGGCACCGTCTCGGCTCACTGAAACCTCCTCCTCCCGGGTTCAAGAAATTCTTCAGCCTCCCAAGTAGCTGGGAAGGCATGTGCCGCCAAGCCCAGCTAATTTTTCTATTTTTAGTAGAGATGGGGTTTCACCATATTGGCCAGGCTGTCCTTGAACTCCTGACTTTGTGATCTGCCTGCCTTAGCCTCCCAAAGTGCTGGGATTACAGGTGCGAGCCACCTTGCCCAGCCATCCTCAGCAGTTTTTAAGAGAAGCAACACATTGTAGGGGTTACTCAGATGGAAAGACAACTGGTGAGGCAGACACAAAGAAAGCCAGTAAGTCCTGCTACAGCCAAGCAATTGCCCCAGGCCTTTATTTTAATATCTGGCCCTTTCTCCCCCTCCAAACCCACTGCTTTTTAATCCCTCAACACAAGGCAGCTGGAAGGAGATAGAAGCTCAAAGAAGAGCAACAGGGTCCCTGAGGCCACACAGGACTCAGTGTGAAGAAATAGAAACCTGATGGAGACGGGATCCATTCTGCCTGATCTCCATTTAGCCTGGACGTGTCATGGGTGGCTGATAGTAGGAACTGGGAGTGGGGTGGGTATGTTAAGTGTAGGAACATAATCAATCCACATCATTTTGGTTTCTAACTTTCTTTCCTTTTAAATGCTGGGAACTGGCTCATTTTCTCAACAGCAGCGGGTGAGGTGGGAGGAGGTTGTTGGAATTTTAGCAAGGCTCCATGTCTGGAGCTGTGGCTGGCAACTGACAAAATGGCTAGAGGTTCTAATTCCAGAAGAAAATACTGCATTCAACATTCGTTCTTCCCATTCCCTATTCCACTGCTTCCACTGCTTCATGTGCCAGGTAGCTTCTAGGCAACCAGGAGAAATAAAATCCAAAACGGCTGAAGGAGGGTAAAATGGGCATTTTATTACACACAGTAGCATAAATGGACAAGAACAAAACCTGAAGGGTCTCTACCAATGCTCCAATTCATAGCTGCTCAACCTGAATCTCTTTTTCTTAGTCCTAGGTGAGAAATGGGATCTCAGATAAAGGAAAGCTGGGGTCCAGTCCAGTCCTATTGAATGTTATTTAGTCTCAGTAAAGAAATGTCTAAGGGCCAAAGCCATTGGGAGGTGTCCCTGGGGATAGAGAGGTCATTGCATTGTAAGTAGGTCCATCAGAAAAGCCAGGACTCTCTCAGGCCCATAAGGCAATAAAGGCCATGAAGGCAAAACCAGCGGCTACACAGCTCCACTTAGTTAGAGGGGCCTCAGGACTAGCTAGCTCCCGTGGAAGAATTTCTAGGAAGGTGACATACAGGAAGGTGCCAGCTGCCACACCCTCTAACACAGCCTGGGCTAAGCCCCAGCCTCCTTCAGAGTCCCCTCCAGTCACAGCCAGCCCTATGGCTAGACCTAGGGGGGACATGAGAGCTAATAATAGTATGGAGAACATGGCCCATTGTGATCTAGTACCTAACTGCACCAGCCGCATTCCTACACCAAATACCACAAGCCCCTTATGAGCCAGGACCGCAAGGCAGAGCTGCACTGTAGCTGCTACTGTTGGCTGCAGCCCCACAGCTAGCCCTTCAAACACTGAGTGAAAGGACAGTGAGAGCAAGAGGACAAGGGCTCGCAGGGGACTCTTTGAGGGTGAGGGTATGTGTCCATGGCTGTGGAGTTCAAAGACATGAGCCCCACCCCATTCTTCCTCCTGCACTGTTGATCCTCCAGCAGCCCCAGGACAGCACTGCAATGCCAGTGACTCCAAAAAGAAGACCAAAAAGAAGCCCAGGGAGATGACGAGCTCTCCATAGGGATACTCCATCTAGGAATAAAAAAGGGGGCTGTGAGATGAAAAGGAAGAGTAGGCAATTCGTTGGATGGACATGGAATTGGGAGACTGAAGAGAATGAGAAAACATGGTAACAGAACGCAATAAAGAATAGGGGAAATAAAGCTAAGAGTAGACATGGACATGCAACAACAAGAATGCCAGAGTGGGCCGGACACAGTGGCTCACGCCTGTAATCGCAGCACTTTGGGGGACCAAGGTGGGCAGATCACTGGAGGTCAGGAGATCAAGACCAGCCTGGCCAGTATCATGAAACCCCGTCTCTACAACAAATATAAAAACTAGCCAGGCACGGTGGCATGTGCCTGTAATCCCAACTACTCAAGAGGATGAGGCAGGAGACTTGCTGGAACCCGGAAGGCAGAGGTGGCAGTGAACTGAAATTGCATCACTGCACTCCAGCCTGGGTGACAAAGAGGAGATTTTGTCTCAGAAAACAAACAACAACAACAACAACAACAACAACAACAACAAAAGACTGCCAGAGGGACTAAGAGACACAATCTCAATAGAGTTAAAAATACGGGAAAATGATGTGAGGGGTATCAGAGGATCTAGGGAAAGAATGAAAGAGTAAAGCAAGAACTTTTTCTGGGGTTCTATAAACTCAGAGGGATTGGGTTTGCTCCCCTTTTCCTCTACAATTTCTCAGCTAGGGAGCAGAAGGGATTCTTGGTACTCCTCATGTACTCCTCCCAAAAGGGTCTGGATATGAAAGGCCTCTCTGGTTCTCCTCACCCTCCAGATAGGGGATGGTGAGAGATACTTACATGAGCTGAACTGGCATCACCAGAAGAATTTCCCTCACTTGCTGATCTGTTCTAAGGAGAGAACAGCAGAAATTAGACTTGGGGTGGAGCAGCGAAGCTTCCTGTCCTGTCCCGTCCCTTCAGCAATTCTGTTTCCGTAAAGCCTAATCTGACTTGCTTTCATCATTCCACACAAGAGCTTCATCTTCCCTGTCGTTCCACCCATGTCCTTGGCTCCATCCCTTTCCTGCTCTCTTCTCTTTGTTCTGTTTAGCCTTTTGGCCTCAGAGGCCCGCAGCTTGGCATCTTTGCTCTCACCTGCACAATGAACTTCTGGATCTGTGATTCAATTTCTTCCAGGGCTTCAGCAGTCATGTGCATGAACCCTGCTCCCAGGAAAACACCAGCAGAAATACAGCCCAGGAGTCTGAGGACCCGCCGATGGTGACCTAATAAAAAGCAGAAGTTACAACCCACCTGGCACTGAGAAGACAGACAAAGGTGAGTAAAGAGCAGCAGGTAGCACTCAATATCCCAAGGGTGGGGGTGGTGAGAGAATCAGAACAAGGTATCAGGACAGGGTTGAGGTGAGACTCAGGCTATGGAACAAAGATGGGGTAGAGCTGTACCTCCAGCTGCTTCAATCTGGAACCATTTGAAGCAGATAGGAATAAGGCCACAGCCCAGAGTGAGAGCCAGAAGGGCAAACAGGCAGCCAAGTTTTACTCCTAGTAGTTGCTCCATCTCTGGGGTATAGTGTAAGCCCAGGAGTCAGAATGACAAGGGAGTTGTCCTCTTTGGAGCACGAGTGGTATCTTAGGCGGTCAACACTGGAGTGTCCACTCTTGCAAGTTTCAGGAGGCTGTTGGTATCTTCTGTGTTGCTTTTCCTTGTGCAGCATTGCAGAGCTGATGGGTCCTGCCCCAGCTTCCAGCCCTCCCACTGCATGGAGGCCCCTCCCCTGGCTCCGCCTTCCTGAGCTTGGAAAACAGAAACTCCAGACTCCCTGTCAGGCACAGCCCAGTGGCGTCTTCTCTTCCTCCTCAATGCCATGACTAATCCAAGGGCTATGGATAGTCTCAGTTCGTGTGCCTAGGGTTGGTCTAATCCAAAATAGGAAAGTCTACGGTAGCTGCTTCCCAGCTATTTTGTACTGGGGACGATCTGGTCCTGTCTCACTCAGGATATTTGATCTAAGCCTTCCATACCCTCTCCACCCCACCCCGTCTTATAGGTTGCAATGCTGATACTTGAACCACTCCCTTTTATTTGGGGCCACCTGGAGTGTTTTCTTGTAACCCCAGAAAAATAGCTCCAGGCATGGAAATGTCTAGTGGTAAATTGATTTATTTTTTCTTTCTCTTTTGATTGGACCAGTTTTGAGAGGAATGAGTTATTTCTGGTATTACATTGATACTGTCACAATTTCTGATTGTGCCTGTTTCCTGCTAAGAACTGTGGAAAAAGACATTTAAGTTTTAAGACAAAGGAAGCTGCCCTAACCCTGAAACAGCAAGGCCTAGAGGAAAACAAATGAACTGAGTAAATGGGAGGATTCTACCTGGATATAGAGGAGTGGGTGGTAGAAGATTCAGTTCTGATGGGAATCATTCTTGATGGAAATGTATGGGAGATTTCCCATATATACTCTAGGGTAGCTGAGGGACCCTGGGAAAAACAAGGGAAGGCAGTAGTAAAAGACAGTCCAGGCAGTTGCTGATTCCCCTATTCAGGTGGCCCACATAACAACCCTCAGACCTGTTGAGCCAGTTCTCAGAGCTCTGGAGGCGGCTTTCCTTGCTACTCCAGATTATCTTCCTAGGGAAGTCCTGGCCTCTGGTAGGAGCACTATTCTTAGTGTTTCTGGATGAATGGGGTCCAGCTGCTTGTTCTTGTGGTCTAATAATGAGATGCAGACAGACTGGGAAAGAAGGCAGTTTATTTCTACAACTGATCACAGGGCAAAGGCTGGAGTAGCCCACCAGACCAACTCAAAGTTACAAGTTTTTCTTTAGCTTATATATACAATTCGAGCTCTATGTCTACCTGTGGGTATGTTTCCTAATCTATCTAAACTAGGGATCTGCAGATAGAAAGGTTTATCAATCTTAAGTTGGTCCTGGTATGGCTCTTATGTGCAGGACTGCTTTTATCACTAAACTACATCTGAGGTCGAGAAAGTACAGGTGGGGCTAGCTTGTTTTGTATTCCAGCCCTCTTACTCAGGCACCCAATTCCCCCAATTCATTATCCATTTTCTTGCTTCTGCTTTAATGTACATTCATTACAGCAAAGGGCTTATGGAAATCTGGTTTTTCTTCTTCTGCTTTAAAGATGAGCTTATACATTCATCATTAGAGTGAAGACCTTGCGGAGTTCTGGCCTGTCACAATAGGTGAGCTTGGGATTTGTGCGGGAAGTGTGGCACCAAAAATCTGAGGAAGCTCTTCATTACAGGATAGGCCAGGTTAATTAACTATACCTTTTACGTATTCTTATTTATTTTTTTTAGAGAGGAGGTCTTGCTGTGTCACTACTATGCTACAGTGCAGTAGTACAATCATAGCTCACTGCAGCCTTAACTCCTGGGCTCAAATGATCCTCCCGCCTCAGCTTTCTGAGTGGCTGGAAATGCAGGCACATGCCACCATGACCGGCTTCTACACTTAAGAATCATGAAATCCACTTTCATTCTTTAAAAATTTATTATTTATTATTAAAAATCTCAAACAAACACAGACATATGGGGATGCTAGCATTCCCCTCCTGGATACCAGGTAGCTTCAGCCCTGGCAGGCATGATAGAAGAAAATACTTGTTACACATCCTTGTCAACTCTCAGAGGGATCTTGAGCAGGGGATGGAGGAAACGCAGACGGAGTAAACACAGGTAAAAGATCTCCCCAGGAGCTGACTCGGGCACAACGATACAAATCCCTATGGAAATGAGATGTTAATGTGGGCTGCAGGTTCTTGCCACATCCCACTAATTTTGGTCACATCCCCTATACCTGCCATGCCGGCGGGCTGTGATCACAGCATGCTGCATATGCCCATCTGGACAGCACAAGTGACAATGCACATGGCGAGGCCGTTTAAGGACAGGTTGAGTGATACGGGGCCAGCGATTAGCCTCCTCTGGAGACCCCCGAGCAAGGATCACCAAAGAGAACTTTTCTTCCTTTGGTTTCTTGTTCTAAGATAAGGAACATAGAGACTGCTTAGAAGAAAAGATATGGGGAAAAAGTTTGTAAAGCTCCCCCACCCCCGTTTCCCATTCCTGCAGTCCTTTTTTACAATGTATAAATCATATACATGTAGGCCCTAAAGTCTCTAGACTGTTCTATTAATTATTCAACTCCTCCTAACTCTGATTCTTTTTCTTCCTGTTTTTCCAGGATGTTTGCTCCCTGCTGCAATATCCCCAGGTACATACCCAGCTGAAGGGGATGGGATGGTACGCCTGTGAGATGCTACAGGCCAGGGGCTTAGAGGTTGTCAACTGGGGACAAGGGAGTTCATGGGGACACTGTGAACACAGAAAAAAATGAGGTAAGACAAAAGAGCCATCAATCACAAAACTTAAAAACTAAGAATGACAGAGTCAAAAGGTGCCAGGGAGAAGGAAGGACAGGAGCAGAGGGTAGGAAGAGCCAGGGGAATCATTAGGTAGAAAGTGGATAGGAACACAAAGTAGTGGAGAGTGGCGGGACAGATAGAAGTAATACTCACTGGGGCAAAGACAAAACCAGGTCGAGGGTCCAAAGGTGACTTCTCATTTCCCTGAAATCAAAGGAAATAAAAGAAATAAAGCTGGGCCAGGGGTCTATTTTCATAACTCAATCTCTGCATTCAGTAAATTGAGGACTCCTGTAATACTCAACACTAATAACGATTAACTATGTCCTTTGAGTTAAGCTGGCTGCATCTTTAATACGCTGAACAAAGAACTTTCTCTTTGCTGTAGGAGAAAGGCAAGAACTTGGCACATAGTATGGTGCTCTTCCTTGTCAGCAACCTCCACTCTCAAAAAAAAATCCCACTGCAGGACAATTAAATTTATGATTATACACTGGCTCATACTCTTCCTCCAGTGACAAGGTTCTTGGCTCAGCAATGCTGTAGATTAGGAGTCAGCAAACTCTTTTAAAGGGCCAGTGAGTAGGCAAAATCTACCTCTGTCCCAACTACTCAACTCTGCTCTTTGCAGTCTGAAAGCAGTCACAGACAACAGAGGCACAAATAAGTATAGCCTATATAAAAACAGGTGGCAGGTCCGATTTGATCCACAGGCTCTCATTTGCCAACCACTATTCTATATCATAATGACTTTATATGCCCAGTTTCCTGAGAGTCACCCTTGCCAATATATGACAATCTCTTTAGCTTTTTCTCTTTTTTTCTCCAAATCTCATCTTGAATTGTAAAGTCCTGAATTGTACAGTCTCTTTAAGTTTTCAAGACAGTAATAGTAATTGGTGACATATGGGTGGGGGAGTGAGGGAAGAAGAAGACTTACGTTAAGGACCAGATCCCTGGCATCCATGAGAAGGCTGTGCCCAGCTTTTGTTCCATTCTCCACCAGCACCTATTTACAAAAGGGAATAATACGCAGAAGTCTTAAATTACATGAAGGTATAAATGTCAGTAGCTCTGTAAGAACAATCATAGATGGAGAATGAAGACAATGAGAGAAGAAAAGGCATGAAATCCGTCAAGCTGCTTTAAGACTTAAGGGAACAAGGAATTTTAACTCACCAGGAAATGATGTGTCTTACGCCATAAGGTTTGAACTACTTCATTACGGTCAGCCTTGCTGGGCAGTTCACTTAAGGAAAAGGCTGATACGACTATATCAAACTGCACCTGAGGACCAAGACAAGGACCATGACAGACCCAACATCTCTGCATCCTAAGAATACAACAAAGTCCTAGCCACTAAATTTCTTTTATCTTCTAACACTCAGTGTGGGGTTGTAAAAGTTCAAGCCACAGTTTTCTATCTGCCACATTCCATGTTTAGAATATTCTAAACACTGCCACTTGCCTTGGGTGATACAGGTAGAAACTGTCTGAAAAATACCCCTGGAATATAAGGCTCCCCAGATTCTGAACCACCTGTGGAGAAAAGAAGAGGCAACTGTAGTGTGTAGGAAGTTACATATTAAGTGAAGAGATACCCAGGTAAGAAACAGGGCCCCAAGAATAGGGAAAGTGTATATCAAAAAGGGCAGAGATGAGCTAGGCATGGCAGCACATGCCTATAATCCCAGCTACCCTAGAGGCTAAAGTGGGAGGATGAGGATGGCTTCAGGCCAGGAGTTTGAGACCAGCCTGGGTAACATATGGAGACCCTATCTCTAATTAAAAAAAAAAAAAAGTACAAAAAAGGCAGGGAGAATATTAGGTTTCTTGTCCTTTGAATCTTACCCACCCCATCCTCAGTCCAGGAGAAACCTCTAATACCACTCTTTGCTTGACCATAACTTTAAAATTGCCCAGATTCATCTTAATTTTTACCCTCTTCTCTACTTCCCAGTAAAATGCTTTTACTAGTCCCCTTGTGCTTTCTTAACTCCCTCAACTTTGGAAGTGCTCTTGCACTCACCTTTCAGTAGCTTTTCTGCCAAAACCAACATGGCAGTTGATCTGTCCACACACATATATTCACGTAGGGTCTGACCCCAAACACTGTGAGCAGCCCTAAGATGGCAAAATTATTATAAATCACCAATTCGCATGACCAAGAGTCATCTCTACAAGAGACCCACTTATACCCAACCCCATCACTGGGAAAAGAGAGTGTTATATTAAAATAGTTGGAAAAACTAAGTGTTATTCTCTTATTTATAACTCCTTAGAAAAAAAGGTAGACTTGGTCAGGTATGGTGGCTCATGCCTGTAATCCCAGCACTTCAGAAGGCTGAGGTGGACAGATTGCAAACTCAGGAGTTTGAGATCAGCCTGGCCAATATGGCCAATACTAAAAATACAAAAATTAAATGGGCACGGTGGCGGGTGCCTGTAGTCCCAGCTACTTGGGAGGCTGAGGCAGAAGAATCGCTTGAACCCAGAAGGTGAAGGTTGCAGTGAGCCCAGATCACACCCCTTCACTCCAGCCTGGGTGACAGAGTGAGACTTCATCTTAAAAACAAAAAACAAACAACTCCCTGCCCCCCCAAAAAAAAACAAACAAAAAAAGGTAGACTCAAAATACTATTTGTAGGCAAAAAAAGCCTGATAATTCCTTTTCTTTTTAATTTTTCTAAAAATGAGCCTTTTTTTTCACTTGACATTTCTTTAAGTTCTGGCCCCAATTCATATACCTTCTTCTGCCTTGCCTAATCTGATGGAAGAAACATTAAAGATTCCCAAGTTGCCTCTTCTCCCTCTGGTTTTCCAGTCTCTTGATTTTGGAGTTGTGTAAGTATGGCTTTCTAGAGCTAAAATTGACCAAGACAGGGCTGAAATTACTCACCAGGTGACAGAACCAGTCCCCGAGCCAAAGTCCATTAAAGTTTGTGGCTGAAATGCTTGATTTTGAGCCTGGATCTGAAGAAATATACAACATCCCACAGTAGGGTAATTAGATACTTATTTAGGACCTTGGTAAATATGAATTAGGAGCTATCACAGAGGATATGAGATGTAAATGCTTTTTCAATTTAAATATAATTCAATATAAATGATTCAATATAAATATCTTATGGAATAAGAATCTCCTAAAATAGTGATTCAAACCTTTCTTGGGTCACAGAATGCTTTCATAGGATAAAGAGAATGTCTTTATTTTGTATTTTTTTTAAGAGATGAGGTCTCACTCTGTCACCAGGCTGGAGTACAGTGGAGATCACAGCTCACTGCAGCCTCAAACTGGGCTCAAGAAATCCTTCTGCCTCAGCCTCTCAAATAGCTGGAACTACAGTCAGGAGCCCACCATGCCCAGTGAAGATCCTCTTTAATAAAAAAAAAAAAAAAAAATGCATATGCAACGTCCCAAGAATTCCCATCCCAGAAAACTACTTTATGAATAGGGAACTGACGGTCAAAAAGTTCAGGTTGGAAGTTAAGGGACTTTTACCTCATGGAATGCTCTGGAGACTGCTGCAAAGCCACCATCCAGTCTTGCTGCCATATACACCAGGCTCAGTCCCTCACTGTAGCTGCCATTAAAATCAGAGAGTCATACAAACTAGTAAATAATCTTAATCCCATAGTTACCTTCTAGATTTAGAAAATGACATCCTGGAAAGGGCTCTTCCAGCTCTGGTCTTTCACTCCCCAATACAGAAGGGTCCTGGGGAGCCTTACAAATACTAAATTTTCAAACTTTAATGTTCAAAACTTTGAACTTTAGCTTTTTCAAATACTAAATTGATCCTTTTAAGGTCAGGTGATTAAAAAAAAATACTACATTGATTGTGTAATTGTATTCCCTCTCTTTCAAAGTTCACCTCTCTTTCAAAGTTCACCTTTTCCTTCTTGTGCACCTTTTCCAGTCCCCCTTACCTCAGTTCTTGCCAATGGTAGGTAGTTTTACGTAGTGCATGAAGCACTGCTTCACGAAGTTTCTCCTCTGTCTGAAATAAGTCTGTGGTGAGAACAAGGACTGGAAGTCAGGACCTAGGGAGAACAGGGTTCAGATCTAATATTTGAATATACTGCCCACCCAGTCTTCTCTGACTCCCACCTAAGAAAACCTTCAAGCTCAAGAGAGAAGACAAACCTAGAGAAAAGCTTCAGGTAAGAACAGTAGCAACTACCACTAACAGAATGTATCAGATGGCATTTTGCTTCTAAGAATGGTTTATTTAACTTAACCAATTCTGTCCCACAGGTTTGTTTTATATTAAAGGAAACTGTGATAAAAAATTTAAAGGGTAGGACAAGGACATTAGTTTTTGGATTTCCTCACTTCTCCAAAATTTATGGTTTTGATGATCTCCACTATTCCTATGGAGAAGAAAGGAGACTGAAAATCTAGGTCTCATGACTGTGTTCAGTTCAGTACTATTTAGCAAGTATCTACCAATCACCTACTGTGACCCAGGTACTGTGAGGTGTGCAAGGAATGTAAGATGAATAAATGGCAGGTCTGTAGTGTCAAGGAGCTCACAATCATGAAACTAATTGATGAATTATATGTATTCTCTTATCCCGAAAGAAGGTTTCAGTACTGGGCAGGGGCCATCCAAGGGCTTTATTTCACCTGAATAGAAACTTAGAAGGTCCTAATCCAGTGGACTTGCAGGAAAAAAACAAATATCTAGATTTTAACAGTATATTGGCTGGGCGTGGTAGTTCACGCCTGTAATCCCAGCACTTTGGGAGGCCGAGGTAGGCAGATCACCTGGGGTCAGGAGTTCAAGACCAGCCTGGCCACCATAAAGAAACCGTCTCCACTAAAAATACAAAATGTAGCCGGGTGTGTGCGGTGGTGCACACTTGTAATCCCAGCTACTGAAGAGGCTGAGGCAGGAGAATCACTTAAACCCAGGAGAAGGAGGCTGCAGTGACCTGAGATTGAGTCATTGCACTTCAGCCTGGAAACAGAGCAATACTCTGTCTCAAAGCAAAAACAAAAACCAAACCAAACCAAACCCAGTATACTGGGACACTCTCTAGCAATCTCTAGAATAATCTACCTCCTTTTAGTAAGGAATCGTTGTAACAACTGCTGCTGTGGTCAGAAAGTCAAATAGGGACTTCAGTATCTGTTTGAGAGACTATTTCTTGCTTTTCATTTCTCACTGGTATTTCAATCTGGCCTACTTTTAAATTATTCTTAAGTCCTACCTGGGTTTTCCAGGAATTTTTTCTCAAGATGCACAGCCCGTCTTTGCAACT